TTGAAGCTTTTTTTTGTAATTTTGAATTTCATTTTTAAAAACGCATTGTCATTTATAAAATCATCGTATATCTTATGTATCATTCAACATTTGTACAAAAACGATATTATCAAAAAAATCATATTTGCTGCCTGTACCTAATCGCTTAATAATTTGAATGTTTAGATCGCTTTTTTCTGAGTGAATAAAAGCTCTAAATTTGTTGTATAAAACTCTAAATTTGTTGTATATCAGTAGTTTTATAGTCTCATTGCACTTTGTTCCTTTTATACAAACTTGTGATTTGATGCGGTCAATCCTACCATTGTGCGAATTTACAAATATAGGTGACAAAATTATTTGGAATATCTGTTTAGATATTTATATTATTTATTCAAAGCTCATGTGTCGTAATAAAGTGATCTTGCCTCAACTTGTAATTCAGGCTTGATTGTAGTATGGTGTTTTTCATCCATGTTCAAACCCTGTTTAGCGTATTCTTCGTAGTCTCTGTTAAAGTCACATATTTTTGAGGAGTTTTAGATCCCACATTCAATATATTACCTTTTGACAGGATCAATAATTATTGCATTCGCAGATGGTGCTCAGAATCATTCTAACCGTTAGGGCTCATAATCATACTAACCGTTAGGGCTCATAACCATTCTCACCGTTAGCGCTCATAACATTCTAACGGTTAGGGCTCATAACCATTCTCACCGTTAGGGCTCATAATCATTCTAACCGTTAGGGCTCATAATCATACTAACCGTTAGGGCTCATAATCATACTAACCGTTAGGGCTCATAATCATACTAACCGTTAGGGCTCATAATCATACTAACCGTTAGGGCTCATAACCACTCTCACCATTAGGGCTCAAAACATTTTCACCGTTAGGGTTCATAACCATTCTCACCGTTAGGGCTCATAACCATTCTTACCGTTAGGGCTCATAAGCATTCTTACGGTTAGGGCTCATAACGATTCTCACCGTTAGGGCTAAACCGTTCTCACAGTTAGGGCTCATAAATTTCTCACCGTTAGGGCTCATAATCATTTTCACAGTCAGAGCTCATAACCATTCTTACCGTTGGGGCTCATAACCATTCTCACAGTTAGGGCTCATAAGCATTCTTACCGTTAGGGCTCATAAGCATTCTTACCGTTATGGCTCATAACCATTCTCACCGTTAGGGCTAAACCGTTCTCACCATTAGGGCTCATAACATTCTCACCGTTAGGGCTCATAATCAGTTTCTCATTCTCGTAAGCATTCTAAAAAGTATTGCTCATAACCATTCTCACCGTTAGGGCTCATAACCATTCTCACAGTTAGGGCTCATAACCATTCTCACAGTTGATGCTCATAACCATTCTCACAGTTAAGGCTCATAACCATTCTCACAGTTAGGGTTCATAACCATTCTTACCGTTAGAGCTCAAGCATTCTCACCCTTATGGTTCATAACCATTCTCACCGTTATGGCTTATACCTACTCTTACCGTTAGGGCTCATAACCATTCTTACCGTTAGGGCTCATAACCATTTTCACCGTTAGGGCTCATAACCATTCATACCGTTAGGACTCATAATCATTTTCACAGTTAGGGCTAATAAGCATTCTTTCCGTTAGGGCTCATGAGTATTCTTACCGTTAGGGCTCATAACATTCTAACCGTTAGGGTTCATAGCCATTCTCACCGTTAAGGCTCATAACCATTCTCACAGTTAAGGCTCATGACCATTCTTACAGTTAGGGCTCATAAGCATTCTTACCGTTAGGGCTCAAGCATTCTCACCGTTAGGATTCATAACCATTCTCACCGTTAGGGCTCATAACCATTCTCACAGTTATGGTTCATAACCATTCTCACAGTTAGGGCTCATAAGCATTCTTACCGTTAGGGCTCAAGCATTCTCACTGTTATGGTTCATAACCATTCTCACCGTTATGGCTTATACCTACTCTTACCGTTAGGGCTCATAACCATTCTTACAGTTAGGTCTCATAACCATTTTCACCGTTAGGGCTCATAACCATTCTTACCGTTAGGGCTCATAATCATTTTCACAGTTAGGGCTCATAAGCATTCCTACCGTTAGGGCTAATAAGCATTCTTACCGTTAAGGCTCATAACCATTCTCACCGTTAGGGCTCATAACCATTCTCACCGTTAGGGCTCATAATCATTTTCACAGTTAAGGCTCATAACCATTCTTACCGTTAGGGCTCATAACCATTATTACCGTTATGGCTCATAACCATTCTCACCGTTATGGCTTATAATCTATCTTACAGTTAGAGCTCATAACCATTCTCACAGTTAGGGCTAAACCGTTCTCACTGTTAGGGCTCATGACATTCTCACCGTTAGGGATCATAACCATTCTTACCGTTAGGGATCATAAGCATTCTTACCTTTAGGGCTCATAAGTATTCTTACCGTTAGGGCTCATAACCATTCTCACCGTTATGGCTTATAATCTATCTTACAGTTAGAGCTCATAACCATTCTCACCGTTAGGGCTAAACCGTCCTCACCGTTAGGACTCTTAACATTCTCACCGTTAGGGCTCATAATCATTTTCACAGTTATGGCTCATAACCGATCTCACCGTTAGGGCTCATAACCATTCTTACAGTTAGGGTTCATAACCATTCTCACCGTTAGGGCTCATAATCATTTTCACAGTTAGGGTTCATAACCATTCTCACCGTTAGGACTCATAACCATTCTGACAGTTAGAGCTCATAACCATTCTTACAGTTAGGGTTCATAATCATACTTACAGTTAGGGCTCATAACCATTCTTACCGTTAGGGCTCATAACCATTCTCACAGTTAGGGCTCATAGCCATTCTGACAGTTACAGCTCATAAACATTCTTACAGTTAGGGCTCATAACCATTCTCACAATTAGGGCTCATAATCATACTTACAGTTAGGGCTCATAATCATACTTACAGTTAAGGCTCATAACCATTCTCACCGTTATGGCTCATAACCCTTTTTACAGTTAGGGTTCATAATCATACTTACAGTTAGCGCTCATAACCATTCTCACCGTTAGGGCTCATAACCATTCTCACAGTTAGAGCTCACAACCATTCTGACAGTTAGGGCTTATAAACATTCTTACAGTTAGGGCTCATAACCATTCTCACAGTTAGGGCTCATAATCATACTTACAGTTAGTGCTCATAACCATTCTTACCGTTAGGGCTCATAACCATTCTCACCTATAGGGTTCATAACCTTTCTCACCGTTAGGGCTTATAATCAATCTTACCGTTAGGACTCATAACCATTCTTAAAATTATGGCTCGTAACCATTCTCACTGCTAGATGAATTACATAGTCTAATTAGAAAATATCCCATGCATCACGAATTCTGATTTTCATAAGATACAGGTAGAATCAATGAAGGACAAGAACGTAAACTCGATTTTAAAATTAAAAAATTCAATATACATGAAAATAACTGGACGATATTTAGAAATAAATAGTGTGGAAAGAAACAGAGAGAAAGCAAATGAAGAAGACACCACTAGTATCGAGAGAACTTGATCTGAGAAAATTGTTTTAGGCAAATTCCTAAGAATGTATAGATAAATTGATTTTATGGATATGTAATTTAATTAGTTATGACAGTTATTATGCTTCGATTTTTTAACGGATTTATTTTTTCATTTCTTAGGATGGCTATCCCCAATAATAGCCATTTATAATGCTTCTTGTTATAGTAGTTTCCTTTTCACTATCCCCCAAATGTATTGGCGGCACAACTCTCAGATAGACGCAGAGCAACATGGAGTATTCTAGCCTACCTATAGGAGGTGTCACTCCATGAGATGCAAGATGTTTACATTCTGGGGTTCTAAAGGGTATCGTGTTCGAACTGTAAGAGAAGAAAGAAAAATTGAAAGAAAATGATCAGATATATCGGCTCTTTTGCACAGCGTTTGTATATAATTGGGTGGGGGAGGGCATAAAATGCGTATTGTACTCCACGATAGGCTACAGTTTAAAGTAAAGGACTCAACATTGTGCTGCAGAGTTTCGAGAAATTACGAGTTTGTTGCATAACGCTCTCTATTTCCACAATGATCCGCCTGTCGAGCAAAGCTCACACCATCTGACTTCAGAAGTCCTGATTTTCCCAGTAATTAATTTCTAATTTACTGATATTAACATAGAAAAATTTGCTGACGTAAGTGATTTTCTTTTCTTTATATATCATCTGTATTGTGCTTTGTGTATTAAATCACTACCTAATAATATGAAGTAATATTATATAAGCGTAATAACTGTAATATAGGTATGCAGTGTAAACGTATCACCTCGTTGAACCATCACAAACTCTGACATTAAAAGTTGTTTTGTTTTAATTGAGTTATAAAAAAAAAAGCAGGATCTTATGGAAAATCGTAGAAAATTCAAACGTACACTTTCCATTTTAGATTTCACTGGCATTTAGAGCAGTCCATGTCATTGTCACCCCGTACCTAGGCAAATTAAAACAGATTTTATTTATTTGATGAATCGCACAATTTTCATGCATGTACACGACAGAGTATGTGGGCGAGAACAGTCTAACTTTTCTTCTCTTTTGGATCCATTCTTTCCAAACGAAAACTCTCTTACAAGAATTACATGGTACCGCTTGACATGTGGAGATAACAACATTGTTTCACTTTGTAGCCAAAAAGGCTTGGGTTGCAAGTCGGGCGGAGTTTGTTATGAACAAAGTCTGTTATACGAGGAAAAATATAGTTCAGTACAAAGAAATATAAAATTCGTTTTAGTCAATAGCATGGCACAAGTTTAATTTAAAAACAATATTGCATGCTATAATCTTTGGGACACATTCAGCGGGTTGTGCCTTTATGAAATATGCAAGAAACGAAGCATAAAAGGAGAAAGATGAATGAAGGAAATAAGAAAGAAAACATTACATAAATGAAAATACTTGTCCACAGCACCGAACGAATGACTCAGATGAATACTGACTAACCACTTCAGTGGCCTAGTGGTTAGAGCGTCCGCTTCAGATGCGGGAGGTCGTGGGTTCGATGACCTGTCGAGTCATACTAAAGACTTACAAAAACGGTACTACCAGCTGCATCTCTTGAAGCTCGGGATTAAGAGGTTAGTGTTAGGACTGGTCGATTTGGTGTCAAGATGATGTGACTGGGTGGGGCATCATGCTACATGTCTGCGGCATGATGCCCCAGTGCTAGACATCACTATAAACTGCAGACATCGTAGCGATATGTCTGAAAAAGTCTTAAAGCTACGTCAAAAATCATAATCACATGACATGACATGACATCACTGAATACTAATTCATTATATCTAGGACTATGTTAGGGACTATATATATATATATATATATATATATATATATATATATATATATATATATATATATATATATATATATATAGCAGCAGGGAGGGCGAACCTACAAAATTTTGCGACAAAATCGATTAAAGCCTCAGAATGCCAAATGGAGCCTTCCTACGAAATCTCATATTTTAACCAAAAAAAAAAATAAAGACCCCATTTGTAAAATGGAGCCTTAGCGATTTTGTCGTAAATATGTTGTCATAACCACCCTCAAAATTGCTGCCATCTACGTCGCAAATATGTTGTCATAACCCTCCCTGCTGCTGATTAATACAAATTATTTAACCAAATATGTGATCAAGTCCAATACGATATCGTGACCGAGGGTCGTGTAAATTTATTGTTATAAATCCATGTGGGACTGACTGAGCATGACTAAAGTAATTTTTGAATCCATTGAAGTCCATATCGGAACACCATGTCTGCCAAATATTTCGTAGCGTATGTGTATCAACGCCGTTGAATACAGCAAGAATATTGCAGTTATCGCGAATCACTTTTGGAATTTGAGTGTAGCGTTGAGTGACATATATCACGTCAGTGTTTTTATGCCTACCTCGTGAAAATATTCTAGCAGGGTTCTTTTGATTATCTAACATCACATCATCGTACACTACAAGATTGTTTATGTCTCCATCGAGGTCATCTACTGATGGTGCATCATTAATATCATCAATAAAGTCAATTACACTTTCACCTTTAATTTCTGATGCATATTCATTATAATCTTTTAGCACTTCATAGCACCTTTGATCATCTACGGATGGGGCAACTAAATATAATTTATCCCACTTCATAAATCGCATTATCAAATTAAGCAGCAATTGTGTTTTACCCGATCCAGATGGTCCGATTATAATGGCACGGGCAGAATTCGGAAGCGCTGCTTGGTGTTTTACCGGTTCTCTTCTTTTAGTCGCTGAAAAATCAATTATATTCATAACGCTATATATAAATTATGGACTTATATTGTGTTAAATGTAAACAGCGTACTGATACAACCGATCAGACAACCATTACAACTAAAAACAATAGACTAGCGCTTACTGGTAAGTGTGTAACATGTGGTACAAAAAAATTTAGATTTTTAAAAAAAAGCAACTCGAAGGTGATATTGCCGCAAAACTTGGAAAACTCCCCGGAACCCCATGGGCAAAATACCCCGGAGAAAAACATCTTCTAGGATATAGTTACTGTGGTCCCGGAACGAGATTAGATCTCAGATTTGATGGTCAAAATCAACCCCGGCCTGGTGAGTATCCGATAAATGCTTTTGATAAGGCATGTCATGCTCATGATGGTGCATATAAAATCAATAATTTGCAACAAAGACATCTCGCGGATGTAAAATTAATTCATGCGTTAAATGCTATTCCCGATAAATCCTTCAAAGAAAAATTGGCTTCATGGTTGGTCAAATCAGCTATGAAAGGCAAATTGGTGTTAGGTGCTGGTAATTGAAAACACTAGTGTTTTTATAGTATGGAATCTATTTATTATTCTCAGAAAGGATACTGGAAGGGTAAAGCAGCAATCAGTAAACTCGCTAACGTTGCAAAAGTAAAAAAGTCCACTGCGAAAGATTGGTTATCCAAACAAGCTATATGGCAAATTTATCTACCACAGCCTAAACAAATTAATTATTCTCATTTTGATGTTACCGTACCCAATGAAGTTCATCAGGCTGATTTATTGTTTTTACCACATGACCATGGTTACAAATACGCGCTAACTGTAGTTGATATTGCGAGTCGATTTAAACAAGCAGAACCATTGAAAACAAAGTCAGCTTCTGAAGTCGCTTCTGCATTTGAAAGGATTTATAGACGAGGTCCTCTAAGATGGCCAAATCTATTACAAGTTTATCCTGGCAAAGAGTTTCAAGGTGTTGTTCTATCAACAATGAAAACTCATAATGTTACAATACGACGGGGACATACTGCGTTATATCGTGATCAGGCAATTGTAGAACGATTTAATCGAACTCTTGCAGAACGGTTATTTGGATATCAATATGCAAAAGAATTCATCCAAGAAAAACGATCTCGTGAATGTGTCCAAAAGTCACTGAGTGTAGTTGCAGCGTTAAATAACGAGATTACTCGAACTATTAATATGAAATCAAATATTGCAATAAAAAATATACCAGAAGAACCAAAGCGGGTTAGCACTCAGCCACTTCTCAGTGATGTTACTGTAAGATATTTATACGAACCAGGAGAACTTGAAGGTTGTAAAAGAAGAGCTACTGATCCTATATGGAGTGTTACTACGCATAAAATTTCAACCATAACGCGAACAACTGGTAGACCTCCAATCTACAGATTGGATTCAACTGCACCTCAGCGTGGTTTTACACGCGAACAACTACAAGTCATTCCGGACGATACACAATTACCGCCATTTGGTCTTAACTAGCTCCGTTACGTCTATTACACTCAAGACAGGTCAACATCACATTGTTTCTGACATGACCAAGACTGTTATTTTTTCTGTCTACGGTGAATTGTCGAGGGTCTTTATCCGAATACCGCCAGTGCATTATACAATTGCAACTGGCGCAGTGATCATTCTGTTGTTCTTTTAATGCGATTATTACTACAGCATCAATATCAAATTCTCGTTGTTTTTTTTGTCCTGCTGTTTGTAACCAGAGAGTTTTTTTTATTAATGATGCTAATATCAGTGTTATCATCGTTTGCATTAAAATCATCATCGAAAACAATCTTTCGTAGTTGATTTATTCGTCGTACTCTGGACACTGCGAGATAGACTAAATTTGACCATTCAATGCGATTATCAATTATCCAAACAATTGTATCCGTGATGGTCAATCCTTTTGACGAGTGTATTGTTGTTACATAACCAAGCGTCCATGGTGATTTATCAGCGCATAATGCATCTTCTACAGCATTGATATCAACTAGCACAATATCATTTAACACTAGAATCTGTTTCTCCGTCTGGCCTGGAATTTCAACTTCAATATTCTGCTTTCGTGTATCCAATGGTCTATAACACAACGGTACTGGAAATGTTGGGAATTTTTTCTTGTGTAGCTCAAACAACTTTTTCTGAAGTGTGTCTCTGACTATCTTTCTACTTGCTACTACAAAATCATTTGGTCTCCATGTTTCCCAAAAATCATTCATAGGCGTTTCAGAAATTATTTCACGCGCTACTTCACATTGAATTCTATCGGGTTGTAATCTAATTAGTTTTTTAAACTCACGTAACTGCTCATCGAGTGCTCTATAGTCAGTATCAATTTCTTCGTAATAATCAACAAATCCTTTTAAACAATTATGCGGACTTCTACCAACAAATGGTGGTGGTTGACCATGATCGCCGCACAATATAACTTTTGTATTATTTTGCAATAACCAATCAAGAAACATTTTTAATACATCTTCTGAAACAGCACATGCTTCATCCCAAATAATAACCGAAGGAATAAATTTCTCACCCATTCGCTCAGGAGTCCAAGCATCGCCCTTGTATCGAAAAAAACTATGATACGTGCAAGCTTCAACATTTCGTTGTTTTATCTCTCTCGCTAGTCTATGGGTTGGTGTGAGTACAATCATGGACGTTCTCTCTCGATATAATTCTATCACACGTGTTGTCTTTCCAGATCCACCACAACCGTTTAAATAAACTGTTTTATATCTACAAATTGGATCTGATATCGGTGGTGCTTTAGACATAAAAAATCCTTCGGATTTTTCACTGATAGAATTATCGTTTTTCAGGTAACTGCTTTTAATCTCAACGTCTGCTGATTCAGAAAAAAAATCGCATTGTATTTCACGTTTAATTCGCCATGTTCCCCAAGTCTCTTCGCTATTAGTAAATTTAGTTACCTCTTTGATATATTTTTTATCGACATACATTGAATCAATTGCAACTCTAACTGCTATACTAGGAAATCTGTTTATCATTGCAAATAAATTGATAGATGCATAACCCAGCATAGAAGCCCTTAAATGTAGATGTGCAGAGCTTTCTCCATCACTGTAAGTAACAATTATACCTAACTTTGTTTTATTGGACAAGAAGGCTGTTTTACAATTTGCGTATCTATTTTTCTCTACTGCATCTTTAATAACGAAGTCGTATTCGGCATCATCTATAATCAATCGTGGGGATTGTCTTTTAAAGTTGAATTTTTTTCCACCTTGTGTAAATTTACTGATTATTCTTCGGCCGAGATCCTTTGCTTCACTATTTCGTTGATTAAATATCTTTTTTGACCATTCAATGATGTACTCCTCGTCAGCATCAATATGTTTTCTAGACTTATCGATTATACTATCAAGACATTCTGGTTCTGGTAACCAGACATTGGTTTGTTTTTGATATGAGATAATCGCTTCGCTGACAATCAACGAAACTAACATTTTACAATCAATTATATATCGCAATAACACTATTGGTAACCACATCCTTTCAGCCATGTGTCTACCAATCCAAACATAACAACACGGATGAAGTCCTTCAGCGAATTCAAATGATACTACGCGAGCAAAACCGGTCAAATCAAAATCAGGCAGTGGTCCATTAATAGCAACGCGAGTCATTTCATGTGTGGGATGTCCAAACCGTTTAAAATACTCACCAGCGAATCCATATCCTAGAAAACTTCCTGGATAACAGGCAACGATATCAACTGATATCA